TGTTGGTGGGAGTTACAATTATGTAAAATTGGTGGTAGTTATAGTTTTGTATTGTTGGTGGCAGTTATAGTTTTTTATAAGTGGTGGGAGTTATAGTTTTGTTTTGTTGGTGGCACTTATAGTTTTGTATAGGTGGTGGGAGTTACAATTCTGTAAAATTGGTGGGAGTTAAATTTTTGTATTGTTGATGGCAATTATAGTTTTGTATTGTTGGTGACAGTTATAGTTTTGTATTGTTGGTGNTTAATTATTGGTGACAGTTATAGTTTTGTATTGTTTGTGGGAGTTATAGTTTTGAATCGTTGGTGGCAGTTATAGTTTTGTATTGTTGGTGACAGTTATTGTTTTTTTTGTTGTTGGCAATTATAGTTTTGTATTGTTGGCGGCAATTATAGTTTTGCATTGTTGGTGACAGTTATAGTTTTTAATTGTTGGTGACAGTTATAGTTTTGTATTGTTGGCGGCAGTTATAGTTTTGTTTTGTTGGTGACAGTTATAGTTTTGTATTGTTGTTGGCAATTATAGTTTTGTATTGTTGGTGACAGTTATAGTTTTGTATTGTTGGCGGCAGTTATAGTTTTGTATTGTTGGTGGCAGTTACAGTTTTGTATTGTTGGTGGCAGGTAAAATTTTGTATTGTTGGTGGTAGTTATAGTTTTGTATTGTTGGTGGTAGTTATAGTTTTGTATAGGTATTGGGAGCTACAATTCTGTAAAATTGGTGGCAGGTATAATTTTGAATTGTTCGTGACAGTTATAGTTTTGTATTGTTGGTGGCAGTTATTGTTTTGAATTGTGGGTGGCAGTTATATTTTTGATTTTTTGGTGACAGTCATAATTTTGTGTTGTTGGAAGAAGTCATAATTTTGTATTGCAGTAATAGTTTTGTATTATTTGAGGCCATTTATAGTTTTTAAATTATTGGTGGCAGTTATTGTTTGGATTTGTTGAAGGCAGTTACAGTTTTGTATTGTTGGTGGCAGTAATAGTTTTGAATTTTAGACAATGTACCAAACAAAAACAATGGGGAACCACACAAAGACAATGGCATACCACACAAGGAAAAGAGTGTACCACACAAAGACAATGTTGTACTGCACAAAACAATGGTGTACCACACAAGGACAATGTTATACCACATAAAGACAATGGTGTACCACACAAAGACAATGGTCTACCACACAAGGACAAAGGTGTACTACACAAAGACAATGTTGTTCCACACAAGAACAATGATGTACCACACAAGGACAAAAATGTACCACAAAAAAACAATGGTGTACCACACAAAGACAATGGTGTACTACATAAAGACAATGTTGTTCCACACAAAGACAATGGTGTACTAAACAAAGGCAATGGTGTACCACACAAGAATAATGATGTAACACAAAAAACAATGGTGTACCACACAAAGACAATCGTGTACCACACAAGAACAATGATGTACCACACAAGGACAATGGTGTATCACACAAAGACAATGTTGTACCACACAAATACAATTATGTAAAACAAAAGGGCAATATTGTACCACACAAAGACAATGGTGTACCACACAAAGACAAAAATGTAACACAAAAAAACAATGGTGTACCACACAAGGACAATGTTGTACCACACAAAGACAATGGTGTACCACACAAAGACAATGGTGTATCACGCAAGGACAATGGTGTACTACGCAAAGACAATGTTGTTCCACACAAAGACAATGGTGTACTACACAAAGACAATGGTGTACCACACAAGAACAATGATGCAACACAAAAAACAATGGTGTAACACAAAAAAACAATGGTATACCACACAAAGACAATGGTATACCACACAAAGACAATGATGTATCACACAAGGACAATAATGTAACACAAAGAAACAATGGTGTACGACACAAGACAATGGTGTATCACACAAGGACAATAATGTAACACAAAAAAACAATGGTGTACCACACAAGACAATGGTGTACCACACAAGGACAATGTTGTACCACACGAAGACAATGGTGTACCACACAAGGACAATGGTGTACTACACAAAGACAATGGTGTACCACACAAGAACAATGATGTACCACACAAAGACAATGTTGTAACACAAAAAAAACAATGGTGTACCACACAAAGACAATGGTGTATCACACAAGAACAATGATAAACCACACAAGGACAATAATGTACCACAAAAAAACAATAATGTACCACACAAAGACAATGGTGTAACACAAAAAAAACAATGGTGTATCACACAAGGACAATAATGTAACACAAAGAAACAATTGTGTACCACACAAGACAATGGTGTTTCACACAAGGACAATAACGTAACACAAAAAAACAATGGTGTACCACACAAGACAATGGTGTACTACACAAAACAATGGTGTATCACACAAGGACAATGGTGTACCACACAAGGACAATGGTGTACTACACACAGACAATGATGTACCACACAAGAACAATGATGTACCACACAAAGACAATGTTGTAACACACAAAAAACAATGGTGTACCACACAGCCAATGGTGTACCACACAAGAACAATGATGTACCACACAAGGACAATAATGTACCACAAAAAAATGGTATACCACACAAAGACAATGATGTATCACACAAGGACAATAATGTAACACAAAAAAACAATGGTGTACCACACAAGACAATGGTGTATCATAAAAGGACAATAATGTAACACAAAAAAAACAATGGTGTACCACACAAGACAATGGTGTACTACACAAAACAATGGTGTACCACGCAAGGACAATGATGTACCACTTAAATACAATGGTGTATCACGCAAGGACAATGGTGTACCACACGAAGACAATGGTGTACCACTAAAAGACAATGGTGTGCCACATTAGGACAATGGTTACCACACGAAGAGAATGGTGCATCACACAAATACAATAATGTACCACAAAAGGACAATGGTGTACAACACAAAGACAATGGTGTATCACACAAGGACATAATGTAACTAAAAAAAATCAATGGTGTACCACAAAAGACAATGGTGTATAACACAAAGACAATGGTGTACCACAAAAGAACAATGATGTACTACACAAGAACAATGATGTACCACACAAAGACAATGGTGTACCACACAACGACATTGGTGTACCACACAAGAACAATGATGTACCACACAAATACATTGGTGTACGACACAAGGACACTGGTGTATTACTCAAGGACAATGGTGTACCACACAAGGACAATAATGTATCACACAAAAACAATGTGTGTACAACACAATGACAATGGTGTACAACACGAAGACAATGGTGTACCACACAAGATCAATGATAAACCAAACAAGGACAATGGTGTACAACACAAAGACAATGGTGTACCACACAAAGACAATGGTGTACCACACAAGAACAAAGATGTACATCATAAATACAATGGTGTACCACACACAGACAATAATGTATCAAACAAAAACAATGGTGTACCACATAAATACAATGATGTACCGAACAAGGACAATAGTGTAACACGCAAGGACATTGGTAAACCACACAAAAACAATAATGTATCACACAAGGACAATAGTGTATTACTCAAGGACAATGGTGTACCACACAAGGACAATAATGTATCACACAAAAACAATAGTGTACCACACAAAGACAATGGTGTACCACACATGATCAATGATGTACCACACAAAGACAATGATGTACCACACAAAGACAATGGTGTATCACACAATGACAACGGTGTACTATTCAAGGACAATGGTATCATACAAGTACAGTGGTGTACCACACAAAGACAAAAGTGTACCACACAAAGACAATGGTGTACCACACAAGAACAATGGTGTATCACGCAAAGACAATGGTGTACAACACAAGAACAATGATTTAACACACAAAGACAATGGTGTACTACACAAAGACAAAAGTGTACCACATAAAGACAATGGTGTACCACACAAAGACAATAATGTACCACACAAGGACAATGGTGTACCACACAAGGACAATGTGTACCACACAACGACAATGGTGTACCACACAAATACAATGGTGTACCACACAAGAACTATGATGTACCACACAATGACAATGGTGTACAACACAAAGACAATCGTGAACCACACAAGATCAATGATGTACCACACATAGACAATGGTGTACCACACAAGAACAATGGTGTACCACACAAGGACAAATATGTACAACACAAAAACAATGGTGTACCACACACAGACAATAATGTACCACAAAAGAACAGTGGTGTACCACACAAAGACAATGGTGTACCCCACAAAGACAATGGAGTACCACCAAGAACTATGATGTACCACACAATGACAATGGTGTACAACACAAAAACAATGGTGTACCACACAAAGACAATGGTGTACCACACAAAGACAATGGTGTATCACACAAAGACAATGGTGTGTCACACATTGACAACGGTGTACTAATCAAGGACAATGGTATCATACAAGTACAGTGGTGTACCACACAAAGACAAAAGTGTACCACACAAAGACAATGGTGTACCACACAAGAACAATGATGTACCACACAAAGACAATGATGTACCACAAAAGGACAACGGTGTATCACGCAAGGACAATGGTGTACCACACAAAGACAATGGTGTATCACACAATGACAACGGTGTACTATTCAAGGACAATGGTATCATACAAGTACAGTGGTGTACCACACAAAGACAAAAGTGTACCACACAAAGACAATGGTGTACCAAACAACAACAATGATGTACCACACAAAGACAATAATGTACCACTAAAGGACAATGGTGTACCACACAAGAACAATGTGTACCACACAAAGACAATGGTGCATCAAACAGCGACAATGGTGTAGCACACAAAGATAATGGTGTATCACACAATGACAACGGTGTACTATTCAAGGACAATGGTATCATACAAGTACAGTGGTGTACCACACAAAGACAACAGTGTACCACACGAAGACAATGGTGTACCAAACAACAACAATGATGTACCACACAAAGACAATAATGTACCACAAAAGGACAATAGTGTAACACGCAAGGACAATGGTAAACCACACAAAAACAATAATGTATCACACAAGGACAATAGTGTATTACTCAAGGACAATGGTGTACCACACAAGGACAATAATGTATCACACAAAAACAATGGTGTACCACACAAAGACAATGCTGTAGCATGAAAGATCAATGATGTACCGCACAAAGACAATGGTGTACCCCACAAAGACAATGGTGTACCACACAAGAACAATGATGTACCACACACAGACAATGGTGTACCACACAAAGTCAAAAATGTACCACATTAAGACAATGATGTACCACACAATGACAATGGTGTACAACACAAAGACAATGGTGAACCACACAAGATCAGTGATGTACCACACATAGACAATGGTGTACCACACAAGAACAATGGTGTACCACACAAGGACAATGGTGTACAACACAAAGACAATGGTGTACAACACTATGACAATGGTGTACAACACAAAGACAATCGTGAACCACACAAGATCAGTGATGTACCACACATAGACAATGGTACACAAGGACAATAATGTATCACACAAAAACAATGGTGTACCACACAAAGACAATAAGGACAATGGTAAACCACACAAAAACAATAATGTATCACACAAGGACAATAGTGTATTACTCAAGGACAATGGTGTACCACACAAGGGCAATAATGTACCACACAAGGAATGGTGTACCACACAAAGACAATGGAGAATCACACAAGAACAAAGATGTACAGCACAAAAACAACGTTGTACCCCACAAAGACAATGGTGTACCACACAACAACAAGGATGAACCACACAAAGACATTGGTGTAAAACACAAAAACAAAGGTGTACCACACAAAGACAATGGTGTACCCCACAAAGACAATGGTGTACCACACAAGAACAAGGATGAACCACACAAAGACATTGGTGTACAACACAAAAACAAAGGTGTACCACACAAAGACAATGGTGTACAACACAAAGACAATCGTGAACCACACAAGATCAGTGATGTACCACACATAGACAATGGTGTACCATACAAGAACAATGGTGTACCACACAAGGACAATGGTGTTCAACACAAAGACAATGGTGTACAACACTATGACAATGGTGTACAACACAAAGACAACGGTGTACCACACAAGATCAATGATGTACCAAACAATGACAATGGTGTACAACACAAAGACAATGGTGTACCACACAAAGACAATGGTGTATCACACAAGAACAAAGATGTACAGCACAAAAACAATGTTGTACCACACACAGACAATAATGTACCACAAAAAAACAGTGGTGTAACACACAAAGACAATGGTGTACCCCACAAAGACAATGGTGTACCCCACAAAGACAATGGTGTACCACACAAGAACAAGGATGTACCACACAAAGACATTGGTGTACAACACAAAAACAAAGGTGTACCACACAAAGACAATGGTGTATCACACAAAGACAATGGTGTGTCACAGAATGACAACGGTGTACTATTCAAGGACAATGGTATCATACGATTACAGTGGTGTACCACACAAAGACAAAAGTCTACCACACAATGACAATGGTGTACAACACAAAGACAATGGTGTACCACACAAAGACAATGGTGTATCACGCAAGAACAAAGAAGTACAACACAAAAACAATGGTGTACCACACACAGACAATAATGTACCACAAAAAACAGTGGTGTACCACACAAAGACAATGGTGTACCCCACAAAGACAATAATGTACCACAAAAGGACAATGGTGTACAACACAAGAACAATGATGTACCACACAAAGACAATGATGTACCACAAAAGGACAATGGTGTACCACACAAGGACAATGTGTACCACACAAAGACAATGGTGCATCACACAACGACAATGGTGTACCACACAAAAACAATGGTGTACTACACAAAGACAATGGTGTAGCACACAAGAACAATGGTGTAGCACACAAAAACAATGGTGTACCACACAAAGACAATGGTGTACCACACAAGAGCAATGATGTACCACACAATGACAATGGTTTACAACACAAAGACAATGGTTAACCACATAAGATCAATGATGTACCACACAAAGACAATAATGTACCACACAAGAACAATGGTATACCACACAAGGACAATGGTGTACAACACAAAGACAATGTGTACAACACAAAGACAATGGTGTACCACACAAGATCAATCATGTACCAAACAATGACAATGGTGTACAACACAAAGACAATGGTGTACCACACAAAGACAATGGTGTATCACACAAGTACAAAGATGTACAACATAAATACAATGGTGTACAACATAAATACAATGGTGTACCACGAACAGACAATAATGTACCACAAATAAAATAGTGCTGTACCACACAAAGATAATGGTGTACCACACAAAGACAATGGTGTACCACACAAAGACAATGGTGTATCACACAAGAACAAAGATGTACAACATAAATACAATGGTGTACAACATAAATACAATGGTGTACCATAAACAGACAATAATGTACCACAAAAAAACAGTGGTGTACCACACAAAGACAAAAGTGTACCACACAAAGACAATGGTGTACCACACAAGAACAATGATGTACCACACAAAGACAAAAATGTATCACACAAGGACAATGGTGTATTACTCAAGGACAATGGTGTACCACACAAGGGCAATAATGTACCACACAAGGACAATGGTATACCACACAAGGACAATAGTCTTCTACAAGAACAACGGTGTCATAGTTACAAGAACATTTTAACACTAACACTAATCTCAGAACAGAGCAACCTGAATATTAGAACCATAAATAGTTCAAAAACCATAAACATACACTAGCATTTACAACACACTACAGCTAGACATTACATGTAGGTGACTTATTATGCATACAAAAATAGATAGTTTTGCAAGCCTTAATTAAAATGTATTGAGTTTTTGTGTGATTTCACTGGCTATTTCAGGAGTATGAACAGGATTTCCACCCTTGTTAACTATTGATTTTTATCAAAACATATTTAAAATGTTGAAAGGTTCACATCTACCAAATAACTTCTGCAAAAAAAGTGTACATTTGGCCATGCATGTCTTAACCAGTGTACACCTTCGATTGGTTTTATACATTGAAATAACTCAAGTTTTTTCTCCGTTTAATAAATACAAAATTTCAGTTTCCTTATTTGGACTAAAGGTCCAATCTCTAAACTTTTTCATTAGTATTCAATATCCAATCAAAGAGAAATCTTAATAGTATTTTAAAGGTCCAATCTCAGTTTCCTCACAGTACTAGAGGTCAAACCACACAGCACTAAAGGTCCAACCTCACAGTAATAAAGGGTCCAAACCCACAGTACTAAAGGTCCAACCTCACAGTAATAAAGGTCCAAACTTCACAGTACTGAAGGTCCAAGCTTCACAGTACTGAAGAAGCTTCACAGTACTGAAGGTCCAAGCTTTACAGTACTGAAGGTCTAAGCTTCACAGTACTGAAGGTCCAAGCTTCACAGTACTGAAGGTCCAAGCTTCACAGTACTGAAGAAGCTTCACAGTACTGAAGAAGCTTCACAGTACTGAAGGTCCAAGCTTCACAGTACTGAAGGTCCAAGCTTCACAATACTGAAGGTCCAAGCTTCACAATACTGAAGAAGCTTCATAGTACTGAAGGTCCAACCAGGCGGTACTTAAGGTTCAACCCTTAAAGATTTTTCTAAAGTAGTTAAGGGCATATACATTGAGCATGCATTCTTCTATTATTGAAAGTACTTACAGGTAATCCTTGTGAGAATTTAAATAGAAACAACAAACCAACATTACTGCCATATGACCTGTATCTTCCAGCTCTTATTTCTATTGATGAACTTACCTGAAAAGAGAGAAGGATATAATTAGATTTCAAACATCTATGTTCACACAAATATCATATTGCAATTTTGTATGTCACCTGAAAAGATGCAATTTTGATAATATAATTTTTCAATAGATATTGTGAACTATTGAGTTTTGAAGTAAATGCAATCCATAACAAGAGTCTCAGAGGGCCTGTATCGCTCACCTGGATATTTGAGCAATCATGTGAAAATATTCTCAATAAAATATTTCAATATATTGAGTCTCCTTGGCATGTTTCAGACTAAATGAAACTTCATACTACTTTATCCCAGCATGCTACTGCGCAAATATCATCACCCAGGGCCTCCTGGTATAGCAGTAGAAGTTGTTTAAATATATTTACATCTTTGACCCCTGAGACCTTAAAAAGTAGATCAAGGTCATTTGTTTGGGGAAAAATGTTATATCACTCTGTCAAAGGAACCTGCTGACCAAGTATCATTACTATTGGCCTCCTGTTTAAAGGTTGAAACACATTTGACCCTTGCAATCTTGAAAATAAGTCGATGTCATTTATTTGAGGATATTTTATAGCACTTCATGCCAGGTACCTACAGGCCAAGTATCATTATATTGGGCCTCCCGGATATTCAGAAGAACTTGAGACCTTGAAAGTCAGTTAAGGTCATTTATTTGAGGAAAGTTTATATTACTATGTCCCAGGTACCTACTGGCCAAATATCATTGCTCTAAGCATCTTGGTTATTCAGATAAAGTTGTTTAAAGGTTTTAAACACTTTTTACCCTTGTGACTCTGGAAGTAGGTCAAGGTCATTTATTTAAAGAAACTTTATAGCACTAGGTTCAGGTACCTACTGATCCCATATCATTACTCTGGGCATCCTGGTTATTCAGAAGTATTTGTTTAAAGTGGATCAAGGTAACCTAAAAGTACTCTGTCCCAGGTACCTACTGGCCAAGTATCATTGCTGTGGGCCTCCTAGTTATTCCTAATAAGTTGGTTAAGGGCTTTTAAATGTTTGACCCCTGTGACCTTGAAAGTAGGTAAAGGTCATTTATTTGAGGACATTTCATTGCACTCTGTCCCAGGTACCGGCTGGCCAAATATCATGGCCCTAGGTCCTCCAACTCTTAAAAAGAAGTTGTTAAACAAAGTTGACAGACAACACACTGTACCATAAGCTAAACAAGAGGCCCAGAGGGCCTGTATCGCTTACCTGGATATCTTAGCAACCATGGAAAAATATTCTCCAAATGAGATCCAAGGGAATAGGCCAGACCTCAAAGCCAATCCTTGGAGCATATCTGTATTAGACTTTTCATGCCCAGCAATTTTACGTATGGTAAATGGGGTCGGGATCTCAACTGTTTCCGAGCTGTGACTCGGAAGCTAGGTCCCTAGGGTTGTGGCCAGACCCCAGGATCAATTATAATATCATGACTGCATTTGTCTCTTTATGCCCAGCATTTATATATATAGTTTTGGGGTGGGGATCTCAAACGTTTCAAAGCTATGACTCAGGGGTTAAGTCTGCAAGTGTGTGACAGACCCTGGGGTCAATTCTAATAGCATGACTGCATTTGTCTCTTTATGCCCAACAACTGTATATACATTTTTGGGGTGGGGATCTTTACCGTTTCAAAGTTATGACCCAAGGACTATAACTACAAGGGTGGGGCCACACCCCTAGGCCATCCTGGAAGCAAATGTGATTTCCTCTCTTTAAACTCAACAATTGTATATATGGTTAAATGGTGGGGATCTCAACTGTTTCCAAGATGTGACCTAGAAACTAGGTCCCTAGGGGTTCAGTCAGACCCCAGGGTCTATTCTAATATCATGACTGCATTTGTCTCTTGTATGTATGGTTATACGAGTGGGATCTCAACCATTTCCATGTAATACACTTTTTCTGGCCCAACCTCTTAGCCCGGGGGGTCAGCCCCACCATTTGTACAAATTTGAATCCCCACCACCTAGGGATGCTTCCAGTAAAATATGGTTGGTATCCATCTCTTAGTTCCAGAGTAGAAGTCGCTTAAAGCATTATGGCCAAATAACCCATTTTGGCCACACCATTTGTACAATTTTGGATCCCCCCTTCCCATGAATGCTTCCGACCAAATATGATTGATATCCAGTGCATAGTTCTACAGAAGAAGTCGTTTATAGCAATATAGCAAAATTGCCAACTTTTGTCGCCCCTCAGCCCCCTGGGGGATCAGACCCACCATTTGTACAATTTTGAATCCCCACCACCTAAGGATGCTTCTAGTCAAACTTACTTTAATTCCAATCAGTTGTTAAGACGGAGAAGTCTTTTGAAGAAATTGTTGACGTACGGATGACGGACGACGGACAGGCGACGGACGGACGACGAACGCAACGGTATGGCATAAGCTAAAACTATATCATATTCTATAGGAAACTTTTATATATAAATATGTTGATGGAGACAAGTGTGTTATATCCCACTCTAAATTGGCCATTAGTATTGTAAAAGATGTAGATCAATTAAGTTGCCTTACAACCGTCAGCTGTAGGGAATT